CCCGACCCGACCCGTCCCGTCCGTTTTGCCTGCCCGACCCGTCCCGTCCGCTAGGGTGCTCGCGTGCCAACGCCCGACCCGATCCGACGCGCTCGTTAGGGTCCGTCTGCCCGACCCGTTTCGCTTGCATGGGGCACACGGGTGTTGAAGTTTAACAGTTCTCTCGTGTGTGTCTCGATTATCTGTCTGTCTACCTCCCCATTCATCTCCGCCTCATCATTTGTCATTATATTTTCTTCTTGTCAATGCTGTTCTGTGCACATGTTCTGGCAGAGGGAGCGGTCAAACCTATGATGTTCGTTCAGCCATTTTTGGTTCGCCTCTGTGCCTCTCGCTGGCGTCAGTCCTCTGTGCCTCTCCCTGCTGCGTGTGTTCTCCGCTGCGCAGCGGCCTGTTTGGGGTCCACGCCTATTCGCGTATTCGGGAACGTGTCCGGGCTCCGCACTTCCAGTTGTACTAGTGACGCCTTCAATTTGTTGGCTGCTCCTGCTGCAGTGCTATCCCGCCACCGTGCTATAGCATGGCATTGCCCAGCATGGGTCTCCGAAAAGTGGGCTCTCCTATGTGCGCGTCGTCTTCTATTGTTACTTGCCCTATGCCTATCCCGCCACTGTGCTATAGCATGGCGTAGCACAGCATGGGTTCCCAAAGTGGGGACCCCTATGTGCGCGTTGTCTTTTACTGTTACTTGCCCTAGGCGTATCCCGCTACTGTGCTGTAGCATGGCATAGTTCAGCATGGGTCCCCAAAAAGTGGGGAGTCCTATGCGTTGTCTTTTATTGTATTTGCCCTGGGCCTATCCCGCCACCGTGCTATGGCATGGCATAGCACAGCATGGGTCCCCAAAAAGTGGGGGCCCCTTTGTGCGCGTTGTCTGGTACTGTTACTTGCCCCAGGCCTACACCGCCACTGCGCTGTGGCATGGCATAGCATAGCATGGGTCTTCACAAAGTAGGGACCTCTATGTGCGCGTCGTCTTTCACTGTTACTGGCCCTGGGCCTATTCCGGCACTGTGCTATAGCATGGCATAGCAAAGCATGTGTCACCAAAAAGTGGGGAGCCCTATGTGCGCGTCGTCTCTTCACTGTCACTTGCCCTAGGCCTATCCCGCCACTGTGATACAGCATGGCATAGAACAGCGTGGGTCCCCAAAAAGAGGTCTTCGCCGATGCAGCCTTTTCGGATCGAGAGTTCGGGTGTCCCAGGTGGGCAGAGATTCTCGTTCTATAGAGCGCTCCGAGGATGTCCCAGCCCGCGAATCCCATGCCGCGCTGGGTTCCCATGGCGAACGTTGGCTCGTCCGCTATGCTCATCGCGTTCATCACCTGGTACCGGCGGCAGAGCCCCCCGGGTCGCATATTCTTGCCATGGGCTTGCGCCTGATCATGACGCAGGTCTGGCATGGAGCCATTGGCTCGGTCACCGACTCCGAATGGGTTGAGGATCGCTATATTCCTCTTCAGCGCGTGCTTTGTGATGGTATACTTTGCAGGCGTTGCCGATCTCATGGGGGTAATTCTATTCCCCCTAATGGTTACATCTTTCGCTGGTTCAGCCCTCTGTGGGAGTCGCTGTGCATGAGCTTCAGGAACCCACTCCTGAACTCGTGGGTTCCAGCGGATGGGTTTCTGTGCGATGATCCTGCCGCGGGCGCCGACTATCGTGGCGGCGATGCGCGGGGCCAGAATGGGCATTTTCTGGTTCCGCGTAACAGGTGGGCCCACACCGCCACTATCATGGGCATCGAGCCACCTGATGGATTGGACTATGCCCTGGACCTTACGTTGGACATTGCATTGGACCATGCCTTGAATCACGCCACGAACTACGCGTTGGAAGTAGCCGTGGATCCTCTCTTTGAAGAGGCGGGCGCTGGCGACCCGCAGGCCTGATCCGTCCAGCGGATGAGCAGTCAGGGCTGTTTCAATGATTCCACTTGGTCTCTTTTTCCTGCCGCGCAGTTCTGCTTGCGTGTGTCGCAGAGAAGATGCTGCTTCTATGCCTCGCCTTCGTGTTCGTGGTTGTATTTTCACGAGTCATGTTGCGTGTGTTAGGGTATTGCAGGACATAGTTATCCCTAGCAAGCGGGGCCTGACTATCCCTGATCGTAAGTGTCAGGGTCGCGATCTGCGCATGCTGGGGCCTTCTCTGTGCGGGTGTGCATTCGCGTGGCCCGGGAACTATGGAAACAAAAAAGGGCCCCAGACTGTGCACTGAAGCGTGTCTGAACCATCCAGTTTGTTCTGAGTGTCCCGACTGAACTTGCCACACTGTGCCTATCCAGTCGCACTGTTCGTTATGCAATGGGTTGTCTTTCGTGGTTTCTTCTACGACTGGATTCGGGCTACCAGCCAGGGACGCTATCCCGCCACCGCGTTGGCGCAGCACCGCATGGGTCCCCACAAAGTGGGGACCCCTACGCGCGCGTTGCCTTTTACCTCTACTTGCCCCATGCCTTTCCCGCCACCGTGCTATGGCATGGCATAGCTCGGCATGGATTCCCCAAAAGGTGGGGACTCCTATGTGCGCGTTGTCTTTTACTCTTCCTATCCCAGGCTTATCCCGCCACCGGACTATAGCATGGCATAGCACATCATGGGTCCCCAAAAGTAGGGTTCCCCCGCCGGACCCGACCCGTCCCGTCCGTTGGGGTCCGCCTGCCCGACTCTTCCCGCCCGTTAGAGCACTCGCGTGCCAACTGGATCGCACATCAGTCGTCGCCGTCGTCGTCGTCGTCGTCGTCGTCGACGACGTTGTATTCGATGTGGTTATAACGAGGGGAGAGATGATCTTTAGGGTGGGGTGGCTTGCGGGTGGGAGTGACGGCCACAGCAGTAATCGTGGCCAAGCCTGGTAGACCCTAAGCCCTAAGCCACTGCGACCAGGGGTCTGTTATGGACTCCGCTCGTGCTACTACTCCTGCTGCTGCTGCTGCTGCTGCTGCTGCTGTTGCTACTGCGCGCGGGAACGTGCGCCAAGGAGGACGAGGAGGAGGAGGAAGGGGTGGCGTAGGGAGCCAGGGGGCGAGACTGAGGGATAGGAGGAGGGGGAAGGGGAAGGGGAGGCGGATGAATCATGGAGAATGGAAACTGGAGGAGGAGGAGGAAGAGGGGGGAGAAAAAGGAGGAGGAGGAGGAGGAGTGAGGAGGAGGGGCATCACCAGGTATGAGCGGATGGCGCGAAACGAAAGACTGCAGGGCACGCCCCGAAGACATTTCAACCAGTCTTCGCCAACATGGACCATCCCCAAACAAAGCTAGGAACGGCTGCGAGGAGGGGGAGAAGGATGGAACATGGAGAACGGAGGATGAATAATAGAGGATGGAGGAAGATGACGTGAACGGGGAGGAGGAGTAGAAGGAGGAGGAGGAGGAAGAGGTGGAGGAGGAGGAGGAGGAGGAGGAGGAGGAGGAGGAAGAGGAGGAGGAGGAGGAGGAGGAGGAGGAGGAGGAAGAGGAGGAGGAGGCGCGCACTCAAGGGGGCGCTCTTGAGGCTCTCTTGGGGCGCTTTCGGCCGCAGCTAGGCGCGCAAACCCCAAGGGCCGCCTTCGCGCGCGCGGACTAGATGTCTAAGCACTCTGGCCTGAGTTACCCGGGCTTTGAGTGGAGGAACCAAAACGCTCGTTGTCATTCAGGCCAGCGGTTTTGTTCTGGCGTTTCTCCTCATCATCCCCGTCATCGTCCTCATCCCCTTCCTTAGCATCCTCCTCACTTTCCCTTGTTTAGGGTTGCGTTGAGGAAGGGCAGCTTACACAATTAAGATGCGGCGGCGGCCTGTCTTAAGTTGAGACGCGCATCTGCCGCCCCCGCCCCCACCCCCCTTTCAAATTTGATCAACGCAGTTCCCGTGCCCCCCCTTCAAAGTTGAGAGGCAGTTGGAACACTCGCGCGGTCTCAGGCGATATCGCTCTCGGTGTCAACTTTGGAGGTGAGGGGGGGCGGCGGAACCTCGTCTTCCGTTATGCGTTTCGCTGGTTGCCAACGACGCATTTTTCAGCACAAAGTCTGATCGCGCTTACCTCTCCGCCGTGTGAAATTGCATCGTCGTCTTATCCATCCAGGTAGCCAACAGGCAGCACCCAACCAGACAACCAACATGTATTCCCTAACCAGACAGCACGCAGGCATTCCCTCACCAGACAGCCAACAGGCATCACCCAGCCAGACAGCTAACAGGCATTCCCTTACCAGACAGCACACGGGCATTCCCTGACCAGACAGCACGCAGGCATTCCCTTACCAGAAAGCTAACTGGAAGGCACGGTGGCGGCCACATTTACGATGAGCCTTCACGGGGCGCTCTTGCTTCTGTCAATGATGGGGACCGGGCCGGGGAGAAGGGGGGAGGCAGGAGGGACAGGAGGAGGAGGAGGAGGAGGGGCAAGCACGGTGGGAGGAGGGGGATGACAAGGAGTACTGGAGTTACTGGTTTGCAGGCCATTGTCCAGGCCTCTCAAAGGCCCCAGCCGAAAGCAAAAACAATATCCCCACGAGCTGTGAGACAAAATGTTGCCCGAAGGAGGGCTCCCCGCCACAGGAAAGCAAACACAAAAGGGGGCCAAGACGACCCACGTGGGGACAAGGGGACAGAGGCCTGCGGGCGGGACCTGCCTTCCAACGACGACTGGGCGACGACGACTCCCAACCTGTCCCGCTCCGCAATGGCCAACAGGATTGGCAGAGAAGGGGGAGGGGGAGGGAAGGTGGAGGAGGAGGAGAGTAATGTTGATGACGATGGTGATCATTGTGGAGGAGGAGGAGGAGGAGGAGGAGGAGGGAGGAGAGAGGGAGGGAGGGAGAGGAGGGAGGGAGGGAGGGAGGAGGAGGAGGAGGAGGAGGAGGAGGAGGAGGAGGAGAGGAGGAGGAGAGGAGGAGAGGAGGAGGAGGACGACGGCGACGACGACGACGACGACGGCGACGACCTCCCCGCGGCAGCCTCGGGCACGGCGGAGGCCGCGCTCGTCTCCCTCCACCCCGCCCCCCCCCCGCCCATCGGGGAGGTGCAGGCGCGCGGCGAGGGCCGTTTCCTGCGCATGCTCGCGGACGAGGCGCCCATTGGGGGGGGGGGGGGGCGCAGGAAGCGCACCGCCTCCTCTCCGCCTCCGCGCAGGTGGGGCCACCAGGGATAACGCGGTGCATTGGCGATGCGACGCGATCCATGGCCCGATCTTCTCCATCCCGACATCGCCGACGCATTGCCGATGCATCGGCGACGCGGTGTGATCCTCCGATCCCATCTGCTCTGGCCCAGGGCAGTCGAGCCTTTCGGTCGTCGTTGGCCCCCTCCTCGTCCCCTCCCCCTCCTCGTCTCCCCTCCTGCGTCCGCGCGCGCCCCCTCGAGAGCCGGAGCGCATACGGACGGCCGGGCAGACGGACGCCAGAAAACGCTCCTTGGAACGGCTTGGCGGCGGCGACGATAGTAGGGGGGCATTTTTGGAGCGTCCTCCAAGGTCGGCGAAGGATGGGGCGGCGAACGCCGAAAACGTTCCCTTGGAACGTCCTCTGGTAAGGGGACAAAAAAATGAAACCCCTTCGTCTTCGGCCCCGCCTTCGCCGCCCCCCCCCCCCCCCCCTCCCCCCAATTTCAAGGTTGGGTTCGGCCTCTCGGAGGCCCTGGGGGTTCCACTTGTTTTGTCCCCTCACGCCTGTGCTGCCAAAGGCTTGAGGTCAACTTTGAAATTCTTCACGCTTCGCGTATCCCCACCAGCCCATCTCAAAACAGCAACTCTTGCGAAGCATGCCGACAGTCGTGTTTTTCAGACGTGTTTCCGCCTGCCCCCGCATATCTCCCCTGTTCCTCCTTCCTCCCGCCTCCTTGTACATCCTCCTTGTGGTGGGAGCGGGAGAAGGACGAGGCGGAGGAGGAGGGAGAGAAAGCGCTCCTCGTGGTTTGAGTCGTTTGGGGTTTCTCGTCCTGGTGTGAGTCGTTCGGGCCCTTCTTCCTGGTGTGAGTCGTTCGGGCTCTTCGTGGTGTGAGTCGTTCGGGCTCTTCGTCCTGGTGTGAGTCGTTCGGGCTTCTCGTGGTGTGAGTTGTTCGGGCCCCTCATCCTGGTGTGAGTCGTTCGGGCCCCTCCTCCTGGTGTGACTCGTTCGGGCTCCTCGTGGTGTGAGTCGTTCGGGGCCCGCGTCGTGGTGTGAGTCGTTCGGGCTCCTCGTGGTGTGAGTCGTTCGGGCGCCTCGTCCTGGTGTGAGTCGTTCGGGCCCCTCCTTCTGGTGTGAGTCGTTCGGGCTCTTCGTGGTGTGAGTCGTTCGGGCCCCTCGTCCTGGTGTGAGTCGTTCGGGCTCCTCGTTGCGTGAGGCGTTCGGGCACCTCGTCCTGGTGCAAGTCGTTCGGGCCCCGCGTAGTAGGAGTAGTAGTAGTAGCAGTAGTAGTAGTAGTAGTAGTAGTAGTAGCAGCAGTAGTAGTAGTAGTAGTAGTAGTAGCAGCAGTAGTAGTAGTAGTAGTAGTACTAGTACTAGTACTAGTAGTAGTAGTAGTAGTAGTAGTAGTAGTAGTAGTAGTAGTAGTAGTAGTAGTAGTAATAGTAGTAGTAGTAGTAGAACTAGAACTAGAACTAGTAGTACCAGTAGTAGTTGTAGTAGTAGTAGTAGTAGATGATGTAGTAGTAGTAGTAGTAGTAGTAGTAGTAGTAGTAGTAGTAGTAGTAGTAGTAGTAGTGTGTTAGTAGCAGTAGTAGTAGTAGCAGTAGCAGTAGCAGTAGTAGTAGTAGTAGTAGT